GCTAACCACAACAGAAACAGGATGGGAGCAACGATACCTCTGGAGAAATAATATTCTCTAAAGAAGGGGCCATCTCCAAGAAGGCCCTTTTTCGTGGTCCCACTAGATGCTCCAATAAATTGATTCAGCACTAAACATTGAGGGTCTCATTCACTTATTATACTAAGGGAATTGTTGGTTATGTAAGGGAACCCAGTGTGAAAAACACAATGTCCACACAGGATTGAAGAAAGACAAAACTCTTATTTCTGTACAGAAGAAGAAAAGGTCTCCTCTGGGTTTCATACCCAAAGAGAAATCAGGCACAGTTATTTTTGTAAAATTCACTACAGGAAATAAAAATACCATAAGAAAATTGCTGATTGGTTACAAAGTTCCATGACAGTCACACATCCATTCAAAGAAAAGGCATCTGCATACTCCATTAATTATTTAATTCTATTGTACTATCATACAAGTTGATTACCTTTGGATATGTTTTTTTATAGTACTAAAGATAAATTTTGCTTACTCCTGAATCTTTGTCTCGCCTCTTGCTGCTGCTTTGGCTAAATAACGTGTCACTTTCTTTGATTCCAGTAACAGGAATTCATAGCTTACAAAAGCCTCTAATTTAAAATAAGAGAGTTGGAAGGGACCTTGGAGGTCTTCTAGTCCAACTCCCTGCCTAGGCAGGAAACCCTACACCACTTCAGACAAATAGTTGACCAATCTCTTCTTAAAAACTTTCAGTGTTGGAGCATTTACAACTTCTGGAGGCAGGTTGTTTCACTGATTAATTGTTCTAATGGTCAGGAAATTTCTCCTTAGTTCTAAGTTGCTTTTCTCCTTGATTAGTTTCCACCCATTGTTTCTTGTCCTGCCCTCAGGTGCTTTGGAAAATAGCTTGACCCCGCCACCCTCTTCTTTGTGGCAGCCCCTGAGATATTGGAACACTGCTATCATGTCTCCCCTAGTCCTTCTTTTCATATTACTAGACATATCCAGTTCCAGCAACCAATCTTTATATGTTTTAGCCTTTCATCCCCATATCATCTAATTCTTTATTGATTATCTAATAAGCCACCAGACCTTCAATCTGCAGGGGTGTCAAAGCTGTAAATAAATACCAGGCAAATTTCCACTCATCCTGCAGAACATCTAGGTTTCTCTTCCTATGAGACTCAAATTACTCCACCCCATTTTAACTTAGTCTAGCATGTTTGCAAACTCAGACTTCAAGACGTGCAAAGGAAGTAGGCAAGATTGCTCTCTGAATCTTTGCCAGGGTGAGCAGCACTGATGGCAAAATCAAAGAAAGAGAGAGCCACTTAACCTTTTTAAACACCTAAAAAGAGTTCAAGTTGCGAATTAACTCTGATTTTTTCTCTAAGATAGAGAAGTGTCAGGTATGAAGAATCAGAACCACAAATTAAGCTGATTTGTTGCTTATGCCTATACACCAGAATCTGATCAGCTAATAGTCGGTACTAAATTAATGCTGGATAAGAGTTAACAAAATTCAAGAGGAATTGGACTTATCCCAGTTGTGGGAACATAAGGACTCCAGGTTGATTCCTTTCTTGACTCCACCCCCAGGCTCTGCTACACATAGCCTAGCTTTGGTGATGTATAAACTAGATTTGTTTAACTTACGCATTTAGAAAGACGTATCTCACACAAACACGAACATTTTATTTGGGGGATTTTTAGCAAATCTTAAGGCATCAAATTTAAACCCATCTGCAGGGTGAATGTCCTCTGTTATCATCCTCCCTGCACAACGGTTTGAAAGGTTTACAAGTTATATTACTTATACAACAAGAAAGCATCAGATAAAACAGACTAAAAAAAAATAGAAGGGGTAGAAAGAAAGTCTGTCCTTATCATCCTCAGGGAAGATCCAGAAAAAAGTTGGACAAGCAAGTGCCTTGACTAATGTTTCTCAACTTTGGCAACTGTCAGATATGTGGACTTCAACTCCCAGGATCCCCCAGGGCTTAGGGGCAAACATCTGACAGTTGCCAAGGTTGAGAAAAACTGATCTAGAGCTAGTAATCCCTCTTTTAAAAAATTAGCGTGTGACAATGTCCTAACAAAGGAACTCGCTTCAATTTCAGAATCACAAACTGAATCTTGATTTTTCTGACACCTTTTAGTAGAACCCACTGAGAATTATGACAATATGACATTTGTAGCTTGTTCCTTTTTCTGAGCAGTTAAAGCAGCGCAAAATTCCTGATCAGCAGATTTGTAGAAATAAAACCAGGGAGGGGCAGCTTAAGCACTCTTTCAAAATAGCTCCCTTTTTCCTGTTCAATTTATGAAGCAAGGGGAGAAAAATTTGAATGGCTAACCCTAGACTTCTGTCCTGGTTAAGGCTGTTATCAGGGACAGAAAGTCAAACTTTGTTCCCTTTTGTAGGTCAGTATAACTCATTTTCCAGGACTGTTTTTTCCCCCCTCAATTTTCACAGTGACCTAGACTGGAGCACAAAAGCAGGACAATCCCATGTATGATAAGCCTGACCATTGTCGGCATCCATATTAGGATCTCCCCAGACTTTCACAGCAATTGAGACCACAGGTAGTTCTTGACTTATGACCACAATTTAGTCCACAATTTTCATTGCTAAGCAAGACAGTTGTTAAGTGAACTTTACCACCTTTCTTGTCACAGTTGTTAAGTGTATCACTGCCGTTGTTAAGTAAATCACACAGTCATTAAGTGAATCCAGTCTCTCCCATTGACTTTGCTTCTCTGAAGCCAACTGGGAAGTGTACAATAGTGATCACATGATCCCGAGGCAGTGCAATGTCATAAATACATACATGCATACATATATAAATGCAGGATTTAAGTGTGAAAAACAGCCTTACGTCCCTTTGTCAGTGCCGTTGTAACTTTAAATAGACACTAAACAAATTGTTCATATCAAATACTACCTGTATTTATAATAGGGAAGAATATCTATTAGATTCCTGGTCCTGTGTTATTTAAAACATAGAATCATAGTTCACTCAATTCGAGAAGATTCTGAGTAGGCATTAATCAGATTGCCTTTAATTAAAAAGTTTATTAAATGTAATTCATCAGGTACAAAAGCTTTAGGGAAAACCACTGTTTCATCTCCTTTGTTGTTGTTGTTGGTGTTCTTGTTCTTTGCCTATTTTATACATTTTCTTTGAAACATCTAAAATATTTTTAAAAAATAAATTTCATATCAACTTTGTGGAAAGAGAATATCCTGCCAATACAGTCTATTCTACCTAGAATTTATTATTCTATTTCCCTATATAAACAACTCAAACTTTGTATCCCACAGGAACTATTAAAAGCAAAACTGCACTGTATTCTGACATTACAAATATGTAGACAACAGTTCCTGTAAAAAGATGATTTTATAAAGAAATTGATAAAGAAAAGTTTGGTCTTCATTGCTCATTGTTTTCTAAATATTCTCACAGAAAAGAAATGGAAAGTCAGAAGAATGTTGGCTGATTTTACAGTAGTATCATAGACATCTAGAAAGTTGGTTGAAGTGGCTCAACTATGACCAGGTACAAATTGAGTAATGTCCTGTCAAATAAGGTTGCTTGCATATTGGTCCTGATAAAGTTACCCAACATTTGTGTCTAGCTGATGAGTCATCACTATGATTTGTCTCTAAGCCAGAATGCTTAAGGATCAGCTGCCAGGTCTTTGGTGCCTTTCTTTCCTTCTACCTAGAATAAGTCTACCAACAATTGCAGACTTGACAGCTGCATTGAAAGAATGAAGCACTCCTGTGAATTGAACTCAAGTTCAAAGAGGTCCATGTTGCGTTCATGGCAACAAAATGAAACTATGGCACTGCTGTCCTCTGTAATTTATTTTCCCCATTTTACAACAGTGAAATTCAATATGGTACAGCCCTTGGATTTTCTGGTGGACCCTTCAAATACTCTTCCAGTACCAGAAGAATACTGTACCGGTTTGGTATAGTTCTCACAAAGGTACAGCTGAACAAGGGTTAAATGCTCCTTGAGCCTGCTGGATGATTATTCCTAAGAAGGATGAAAGAGATCATCTGTCTGAGTTGTTCTTCTGTTGGAAGATAAAGCTTTGTGTCCTAGACCAGAGATCGGGTCCATGGAGAGGTTTTTCTGCAGACTAGAGGGAGCGTGGTTTTGCAGGGAGTGGGGACCTATGTCCTAGACAACTAGTGGTTCTCTTTGATGGAGTCAGTTATCCTAAAGCAGAGGTGCCCAACCTTGGCAATTTTAAGCTTTGTGGACTTCAGAATTCTCCAGCCACGTTGGCAAGTTGAAATCCATAAGTTGCCAAGGTTAGGCACTCCTGTTCTAAATTGAGGAGGGAGCTAACTTTAGAGCCAGGTCAGACAGCTGGAATGAAGGCAGTGAGATGTCAATATGACTTCTCAGTTTTCTATGGTGTTTATACAACAGGCTTCACATTACCAGTTTAATCCATTTTCCGTTTTGCATGATGCTTGTCGTTAACCGGGTAGGTTGGGTTCATACAACACTCTTCAGCAGAAAAAAATACACTGAAGTTAAAACAAAACAAACCTAGTATTGTGTAAGTAAGGGTTCAGTGTAAGTATGTTGTGTGACTATAGGAAAATTACAGTGTGAGTGAAATAATCCCATCCAGGATATATTGCTTGGTAGTAACCCTTTTTTCTATAGTAGATAAGTTCACACATTATCTACACTATGTTGATATAGCCATGAAGAGAACTATGGGTAAGCTTCAATCAGAAATAAAAATAGACTGATGTAGTTTTCAAATATAAAATTTAGAAGTAAAAATAAGAGGGTTTTTTTTTTCCTTACGGATGATTCCCTGAACTTGGCCATGGAATTTAGCAAATAATATTCTTCTATGGAGTCAGCCAAGGCTTTTTCTGGCATGATGAACGAGAGGTTATTCTCACAATGTACAAACAGAAGATTAATGATTGATGGCTCGAAAGGGCACAGATCAGATTTGGCCCTCTGTATAAAGGCAGCTATTGCCAGGAGATGCCCCACTGGTCTCTCCCAATAGGAAGCATCCAGCAGTGTTGCCAATATGGCGTTTGATGGTACCTGGCAAGTCTACACCCAAGAGAAGTATGAAGACTTCCTGAAAGCAATTGGTAAGCTACAGGAAATCCCCCCCACCCCACCCCCAAAAAATGAACAGGATCTCTGAAGCAAATTCTGAGATTTTTACTGGAGACCTGATTCCATCTTGAGCATAGTATCCTCTGGGTAAAAGGACAACTGGAAAGCTAAGCAACCTACTATGAGGTTACTCAAGCTCAAGGAATGGTCCTTATCTGTTGCTAGATAGTGTTTCTCGACCTTGGCAACTTTAAGATGTGTAGACTTGGCTGGCTGTGGAATTCTGGGTTCTATCATCTTCTCTCCCATCTGCCTCAGCTCTATCAGATGATATCATTAAAATCGCCAAAAACATCAAGCCCATAACTGAAATCCATCAGACTGGGAATACTTTTGTGATCACATCGAAAACCCCCAACAAATCTGTTACGAACACATTCACGTTGGGAAAAGAAGCAGAAATGACCACCATGGATGGGAAAAAAGTCAAGGTGAGTCATACTCAACTATGTGACATTTTATTGTACACTGCCTAGAGTCCCTCTCTAAGAGAGATGGGCAGTCCAAAAATATGAAAAGTTCAATGAATGAATGAATGAATGAATATATGAATGAATGGTCTCCTTGACTTGAAAATCTTGAGGTTAGTTATGGAGACTCCAATCCTGGAACTGCCCATCTTAGGGTTTTTTTTATAATTTTCTGGACAGACAATAGGGAACACCTATGGAGATACTCAACCATCCAGGTCATGGTTGTCCCAAAGGTGCTCTTTCCAAAAAATACCTGTACTTTCTTGCTTTTTTCCTTTGAAAATATTTTGCTTCTCATCCAAGTTAGAACTGAAGAAATTTCTTGGATGTGAAGCAAAACATTTCAAAGGAAAAAAATCAAGAAAGTTCAGTTGCCTTTTGGAAAAGCACTTTTGGGACAACTGCAGGAAACCTTTTCTACTGCAATCTATGGCAAAACATCTCTGCATTTTATTAACTCAAGGTTGTAACTTTAGCACTATTTTCTTTTTTTTCCCCAAACATTGATATTTTTATAATATTATCTTTACATTTTCTGGTGGCTTGGAACATGGCTGTTTGATCTATGTTCAGTAATGGTTTTATTGTTTTACAGTGCACAGTAAATCTTGAGGATGGAAAATTAATAGCCAAGTCAGACAAATTCATCCACGAGCAAGAAATTGTAGGCAATGAAATGGTGGAGGTAAGTCAATGTTCGTAGTTTAATGGACAGGAAGAATAAAAATTTAATTTCACCCAGGAAGATATGGTAAGAAGTTGATTCAAGAGGCTGTGGTTCACTGACCACAGCCCTAGAGAATATGGAATCCCTGTTTCCTCAGTTAACTCAGTTTCCTCAGTCTGTATGATATACAAGCTGAGATTTTATCACACACTAGGCTGAAATATGCTGGAAAACAACGGTGTCACTCTCCTGAGTCTGCAGGAAGAATGAAGTCAACCCTGATTGTTCATTGGAAGCACAACTTATAAAGCTAATGCTTAAATCACAGTTTCTCACCATGGCAACTTTAGGACCTGTGGACTTCATCTCCCAGAATTCCCCAGCCAGCTATGCTGGCTTAGGAATTATGGGAGTTGCAGTCCACAGGTCTTAAAGTTTGCCATGGTTGGGAAACTCTGGCTTAGATGTTACAGATACATAATACAAGTGAAAGAGTCATTGTTGATCATGATGTTGAAAAAAATCAAAGGCAATTGAAAAAATGGCTAGATACTCTCTGTCAGCCTGCCTCCCCAGACAGACCAGATCAGGAAGGCTAAAATTACCTGCATGGACATTGGCTAGGATAACAGAATTTTACAAGTCTATTCTATCTCTGCCTTCTTTCATTTTAATGAAATAGGGAAGAGTCACTTGTACCATAATGTTGTTTTTCGGAATTTAGCAATGTTCCCCTCCCTTTTGCTTGGGCAATGTTTTTTGCATTTTCCCAGCAAAGTCAACTTCCTTATTCTCTACACTCAAGCATGCAAGAAAACTGCATAGTGTATTCACATAGGCGTCAGGAGTTGAGGTCAACTTAAAGGGGTTTACTAGCTATAAAACGACCACAATTACTTGTAAATTGCAACCACCTATACAGGTGACAATCTTCTTTTTTTTTCTTTTAGTAAATTCAAGACAACCTCTAAGATAGGTAAAAAGAGTGTTCAAAAGTAAAAGGGGAGGGGCACAAAAAATAGTGGAAACTAATTAAGGAGAGAAGAACCAACCTAGAAATGAGGAGAAATTTATTGACAATTAATCAGTGGAACAGCTTGCCTCCAAAAGTTGTGGGTACACCATGACAGGAGGATTTTTAAAAAGAGATTGGACAGCCATTTGTCTGAAATGGGATAGGGTCTCCTCTTTAACCCGGGGTTGGACTAGAAGACCTCTAAGGTACCTGCCAACTCTGTTACTCTGTTAAAAAGAGAAAGAAACAAAAGCAAAGATTTTTAGCATCTACGGTTGTTTGATGTAAAAAGAAGGGCTTTTTAAAGTAAATTCTTAAATAAATAAAATTCCTGTGTTTTATCAACCAGTGCAGTTCCTCATCTTTTCAAATGCCATTGATTCAAAGATATATTCATTTTCCTCCTAGTTCTTGCCTGCTGCAATTTTAAAGAGCTATACTTGTGTTGAAATATATTTTGTCATGCCTACAGAAGCTTTATTCACATTGGCTAATTAAAAGTCATTTTAATTTCAAAAGCCCATATCTTCACTTTTCTCCCACAGACTATTTCCTGCGGCTCAGCCACATTCACCCGAAGGAGCAAGAAGATTTAAACAAAAAGGGAGATAACTTTATTATTTTTTGTAGGTGCTTTTGTACATGAGAAATAGATAAATAAATAAATAAATAGAAACCACTGTCCATATCAGTTCACGTTTCCTTTTATTCAAAAACAACAGATTTTAGGACAACCAAGCATTTCCTTTTATTCATTTTTAGACAATTGTTGAAAGAATTATCCTTCTGGGTTCAGTTCCAAGTGGGGAAAAAGACACTGGAAACATGGAGGCTGTTTGGAAGGTTTAATGGTGAACAGGACCACGTGGCCTGGAGCTCCAAGAGTGAAAAGGAAGGATTATCACATGCTTCAATGTGAAGGAAGAGATCACGAAAAGGGCTGAGGGGCTGAGAGGGCCTGGGTTTTATAACCTTTGTTGGGATTTGAATTGGAGCTTGTATTCTGACTGGTTGTCAGACTCCCATGAGGCCATGCAGGGGCAGCTTTGTAAGCTGTCCTGAGTTCCAGGCTTGGTTGAGCCTTGCTGGATGATGATGCACTGAAAGGGCTTTTCAGCAATTGCTATAGCTTTACCTGGAGATCTTTGTTATGTAAAGCATTCTGCCCCAGGCCTTAATGGGTGGGCATCCATTAACAAAGGTGGGGGTGAGTTTCTGCTTCTGAGTTTCTACTCTTTTTAGAGGAAATATTCTGCCTTTTTAATATTTCCCAGGATATTTCAATTTTCTAGGAGAGGGGTGGGTGCTAACTTCCTACACAATATTGAAGAAAAAGTAGAAAAAGGCTGGGACAATTTATTATTATTATTATTATTTTATTCATTTTGATACAATTACAGAAGAAAAAGTAGTAAATGTGTATTTATTTATGTATTTATCATTTTATTAAATAATCCATTTGTTTACATGTTTAAATGATTGATACGGCCACCAGCCTCAGAACTGGAGGGCAGGTGAGAGGTAGCAACATCTGTAGCAAACCACAATGGCACAAAAAAGGACCTTCCACAAAGTTGTGAGATCATCATACAAATGCCAACATCATGTGTACATATGTAAATTGCGGCATTTGGAGAATGTTATCCTCACATGCGTGTCCACCTTTTCCTTTCCCTTTGCGCTGCAGATGGTCCAGAAATTATTTGCCACACAACTAGCCAGGTTATGGTTTAACAGGGAAGAAGGTGGAACTTTGATGGCATCATGGCAGCTTCACCTTCTTGGTCAGACTTTGAGGGTCCTTCTGGAACAAACCCGTCCCCACTTGAGCCTTATTCCACTTGAATAAGCATATTAGCATCCTGGTGACTTCCTTGTCAGAAAAGCCCCAGCATCCTTCTCCTTTCTCTACCACCTGAGGTTCAGGTCCATTCCTCTATTCATTCAGGACACAGATTAGGAATCTCCCAAATATAATTATGGATCTCCAGCATCTTGGTCTTGGTCAGATACACAAGGACACATATATTGATGTTCCCATGCGAATGCATATACAAGCAAGTTTAGAGACACAGTTAATTTCACACAAGAAATTTCAAATGGGGCAGTTGCATTAGAAAATTCACATCTGGTCCTTTACTCATTTCTAAGCAAGTAGAAAAACCTCCAGAAGTTCTTGAAGAAGGCACCTCTGTCCAGTGTCTTATCCTGGTTTTGCATTCCATCGCCCTGATCTCAACCCACGTACCTGACCAGCAGACTTTTACAAGCCTTGGCTTCCAGCTGAGGCTACGAAATGCTGGGTTGGCATGCATAAGGCCTCCTTCATCTGTGATTTGATGTCTTATTGGGACCTGCCTGGGTCCAGAAGTGACAGGGGTTTCCACTTTTGGAAACGTGCCCGGCTATGTTTGTGGTGTGGCAACAGCTGAGAATTCAGGCAGGGCTGGGGGTATGATCACTGTTATTCAAGAATCTCTGAAGACTTCATTCTTAAGACTTTCAGCTCCATGGCTTGCTGCATATAAGAAGTGGTTCATTCATTGGGTTGAAGGGACCAATTGGAATTGTTGCTATTATACCAGCTTCCCTATTGTATAACAGCCTCCTGAGGTGACCAGGGCATGAGTAATGGCACAACTGTTTTCAGGGCCTGAGCTGAGTGAGGAGGAGGAACAGCTGGGCCCTGTCCCAAATGCGCCTATGCACAGAGAAGTACAGAGAGGAGAGAAACGCAGGGCTGAGGGCCAACTATCCAGGAAAAGAAGATGTTAACAAGGCCCTTCCTGGCTGGGATATAAGGAGGAAGGGTGTGTGAGGCAAGCTTGTTGGAGACAACTGTTCATGCTCCAGAAAAGTTCCCTCCAGCACATTCTTTGCTAGGATTTCCTTGCCACTAACCAGGTCAATCAGGACTCTTTGTGTTGGGATTGAAATGCTAATTGAGGCTCCTTGAAACTGTTGTGTGAATCACCTAAGGAAGTGTGACCTGGAGCTTTGTCAGTGAATGCCATGTATTCCTGCCTTTCTAAATAAAAAGGGGTTTCTCTTCACAAGTAAGCTGTTGAGTGGGGCTCATGAAGGCTGGGTCAGAACAGCCGGATGCGTCAGACGTAGGCCATACCCAACCCAGCTCCGTGAATGGGAAAAACATCACGAAATATCACATGACAGCAACATGATGCCGTAGGTTTGACACCCGTGGGCTAGATGATAAGAGCAATAAGAAACTTTTTTTTTCCGTCTGGTCCAGTACATAAATACTAATGTCACGTTTTATAAGGACAGATGCTAATCGAAATTGAATTGAATTCAAGGCTTCCCCATCAGTTGCAACAAGACTGCCTGACTATTGGGCAGATAAATACAAATACAAATAAATAAATAAACAATAAACAAGGCATGTCTCAACACAAAACTTCCAATTACTCTGGGAGTATATTGATAAAGATTATCCGTCCTTCATATGGAGTTTTCTGGAATGTGCCATGGCAACTGCATTCCTTTTCTGTTTGGCTTGAAACATCTTGCTGCTTATTCAAGCAGTTCCTTTGGTCAGACTGAAGAAGCTACAGTCAGATAAACAGTGAAACATTTGAAACCAAGAAGAGAAGAGAAGAGAAGAGAAGAGAAGAGAAGAGAAGAGAAGAG